CTCAAAAGTAATTGGACAAACTAACATAATCATAAATATTAGGATTATTTTTAATACTTGGATGCAAATCCTTTGCAGTCAATGACTGCCTGAAATCTGGAGCCCATGGACATCACCAAATGCTGAGTTTCCTCCCTTGAAATGCTTTGCCAGGCCTTTACTACAGCCGCCTTCAGTTGCTGCTTGTTTGTGGGTCTTTCTGCCTTCAGTTTTTGTCTTCAGTAAGTGAAAAGCATGGGTCGAGGTCAGTTGGGCTGAGGTCATTGGACATTTAAGAACATTTAATTTCTTTGCCTTAAGAAGCTCTTAGGTTATTTTATTGAAATAATATTGTTAATCAGTATTAATATAATATTAATATTTCAATATTATTGAAAAAATATTGCATTAATATTGCATTCCATTCTTTGCATAGTTCCTCCATTTTCACAGGCCCAAAAGTAATTGGACAATTGACTGATAAGCAGTTTAATGGTCAGGTGTGGCCTGTTTCCTCACTATTTCATAACAGATTAAGGAGATAAAAGGTCTGGAGTTGATTGCATTGATTGCATTGAATTTGCATTGGGTAGCTCTCAATACGCAGTCCAAAGAGATGTCAATGCAAGTGAAGGACACCATCTTTAGGCTGAAAAAAATTAACAGACCTATCAAAGAGATAGCAGAAACATTAGGAGTGGTCAAACCAACAATTTGGGGCATGCTTTAAAAGGAATGCAATGGCGACTGCACTCAGCAATATCAAAAGGCCTGGAAGATCACATAGACAACTAAAGTGAATGAATGCAGAATTCTTTCCTTGTTGAAGAAAAACCCCTTCACAACATCTAGCCAAGTCAAGAACAATCTGGAGGAGGTAGGCATATCATTATCAAAGTCTACAATCAAGAGACGCCTTCATGAATGTGAATACAGAGGGTTTACCTCAAGATAAAATACCAGTGGTTTTGATTACGCTCAAGAACAGAAAGGCCAGATTAGAGTTGCTAAACACCTCTAAATAAAGCCTGACCAGTTCTGATGCAAGATTAACTTGTATCAGAATGATAGGAAGAGAAGAATATGGAGAAGGAAAAGAAGGGCTCATGATCCAAAGCATACCATGTCATCTGTCAAACATGTGGAGGAAGTGTTATGGCATGGGCATGTATGGCTGCCAATGGAAATGGGTCACTGGTGTTTATTGATGATGTCACTGCTAATAGAAGTAGCAGGTTGAATTCTGAAGTGTACAGAGCTATATTTTCTGCTCAGATTCAGTGAAATGCTGTAAAACTGATAGGACGGTGATTCACAGTACAGATAATGACCCAAAATGTACCGTGAAAGCAACCCAAGAGCTTCTTAAGGCAAAGAAATTAAATGTTCTTAAATGTCCAATGAACTCAGCCCAACTGACCTCAACCTATGCTTTTCACTTACTGAAGACAAAAACTGAAGGTAGAAAGACCCACAAACAAGCAGCAACTGAAAGCGGCTGTAGTAAAGGCCTGGCAAAGCATTTCAAGGGAGGAAACTCAGCATTTGGTGATGTCCATGGGCTCCAGATTTCAGGCAGTCATTGACTGCAAATGATTTGCATCCAAGTATTAATAATAATCCTAATATTTATGATTATGTTAGTTTGTCCAATTACTTTTGAGCCTGTAAAAATGTGAAAATGGAGGGACTGTAAAAAAAATGGCTGTAAACAGTTAATGCAATATTTTTGTTTAACCCCTTGAATTAACGCTGAAAGTCTACAATTCAGTCACATCCTGATTGCTTTATTTCAAATCCATTGTGGTTCAAATCCATTTTGCAAAATTACAAAACCTGTGTCACTGTCCAAATACATATGGACCTGATTGTATATACAATAGAAAGCATGACAATAACCATCTACTATCCTTAATTTCTTCTAAGAGTAATTGTGGATGTTTACTTGAGAAGGCCTGAGCGGTGGAGGATGTAAAGATCACGGTGTCTGCAGTCACGTGGCATGGCTCTGACGAAGGTCTGGAGTAGAGGGGAATCCGGATCCAGAGTATGCACCAATATGATGCAGAAATCCCGCTCCTGATTCCCCAGACCAAACAGAAACATCCCATAAAACAGCTTTACCTACACTGCTGAGCTATACATATAATTTACCCAGTCTTTAAGGAGCATGAAACATTTTACTTCACAGTGACCTAAGCACAATTAATCCACATATCGGTTTTTAATATCGGCACTTACACAATAGGAAATAACAAATGCAACAATTTGTGCTGGCTCTGTTAGTTCAGCCAGAGTGTGTATGGGTGTCTCTTTGTGGAATTTTATGGGGTTCATTACACCCACAATTACCGCTGATCATGTGTTACACATGTGTCAGTGAAGCGGGATGAAAAATATCAGCCCAAATGGAAATCAAATCTAGAAGGCATTTCACGCTGTGTAAACACCTGACATGACTGTCACTGACAGGCTGCATGAATCTACAGTCTGGGCTAGAAAGAAGTCAGCCCCAGTCTCGCTTCTTCATATCATTCTGTGTATTTTTCTTACGAATATTGGTGGTGCTGTTGCACTTTGTTCTACCAAAATCCAAAAATAATCTTGGCTGATCAACTCTGTCTTTTACATTAAGTAGGAACATGTTTTACTGCTTGGAAGTGAGTACTCACCGGGAAAAGTTGAAAAACATAAGGCAAGCAATCAACGGCCCTGTGAGGGAATGAATAATAAAATCATGAGGGGAAAAAAAGAGCAGAAAGTTGTACTGCACAGCGTCTCTTTGTTGAGAGCAGAGTGAAAATTTGCCATGTTGGACGCTAACTACGGCGTCTGTGGCCAGCCAATCTGTGCGCTCAACCCCTCTCCTCTCGCCTCGCTGTCACTTTAAGCATTCGGCTCATTAATTACATGCTCACTCTCAGCGGGGAGCAAGCGGACTCCATATTCCGCAACAGCTGGGGAGTAAAGCGGCAGAAAGCTGTGCCCAGCAGGAGCCAACGAGCAATCAGACTCCCCCCAGTTTACACCATAACAGATCTTAAGCAAAAGCCACTGGAGCAGAGCCAAAGGGAGGAAAGTTTCCATCCATATACACTACATCACCAAGGGAAATACTCACCACCCCTTATGCTCTGTTCAGGTCACAGTGACCTACTTTATTTTGTAGTAATACTAAAATGATTATTTTTTTCCTACATGAACTTTTATGTGCTTGGCTTGCTTATTCTTTTGATGATGTTCAGGTCATATTGACCCTCATGGTAACCAGATCGAATAAAGGTGTTAAAAAGATAGTTAACTGTAAATCTGAACCAAAACTCTGGCTGGCTTGTTCCTTCATTTTCTTCAGTATTGATAATACTGCTAATAAAGTAGGCTAAAATACTTTATAGGGATATATAAAGTATATATCTCTATAAAGTAAGGAATAAAACATAAAGCATGCTTATGGGAAAATAACAATTAACGACGAAGTGGTGTAATGAGGCCAAACGTGAAGTGTGTTTCCATAAAGCACATCACAAAGTCTTTAAATCCTCTTATACCACAGTAATTTGCCAACATTTAACATTTTTATTCATTACAGAACAACACATAATACTTTTTCTCCTTTTGTAGGTATATTTAATGCTGCAGACCATCCATGGAACAAGTTCAGTCCTGTTACCATTTATACCAGCGATAAGCAGCATCTCTTGCCCACTCACCCACCCCCAAAATAAGAAGAAATAATAATTTAAAAAAAACGCAGCTTATCATGTTACTGAGAAACCGCAAAGTAAAAATATATCATTTCTCATGTTGGACACTGTACAGACTGTTACAAAGCACAGACACTGGAGACTCCTTCCAAAACGTCTCACAGAGAACATCTTCTCACAGAAAACTTTACCAATTACTTGTTTTTCTTTTTAATCCACTTATTATTAGGCTTAGATTATGTGGACCATCTGCTATATAAGTCCCTGTGAATTTGCTGTGACTATTGAAACGATAACATTTGATTTGATCCAGTGCATTCCAGTCTGAGCCGTGCCAATATCTTCTGACCAATCAGAATCACAAATTCAACAGTGTTGCGTATAAAATAATGTTTCATTGCATTCTTAATATTTCAGACTTGTAAAAACAGTTCATGTCTTCATCAACCCTGTAATCACCCATTGAACTTATTCTGAAAGATCTACTTTAACAGAATGTGACATCATGTTAGAAATCTTCACGACCAAACACAACAAGGCAACAGCTCTGACAGTTAAAGTTAGTTAACAGTAGATTTAGCTTAGCAAAGGTTAATTTGGTAGAGTGATAAGTAATATGCAGTTGAACTTACCTCGTTTCAAACCTTTTATCAATTCGTATTTGGATCAAGAAAGCATTATGTTCTGCTTCTGAAGCTGCGCTGTTTCCGCTGCTGTCTGTTGTATGAGCTCTAATGGGCTCGGCCTGATTTAAAGGCACACAAAATGGCAGTAATTTAAAATAGACGTGTTAGTGACAGTTGTATGGCTGCATAGGAATAGCTGTCATCACATATCCTGATGTTTCTTCTGACACAGGAAGTAATGTACACAGTCTGAGCACAGGCCTCTTGGGTGCCTCTGCATCATTTAGGGTTTAAGGGTCTTGCTCAAGGACGAGCTGTAGCTTGACAAGACAGTAGCACTGGTATGCATTCAGTGTTTTTCTAAAATAAACATGTGACCTAACACTGCAACCTTACTGTTTAATGTGCCTCATTTGTAAAGAAATTTACCTTGTCAGTCTTCCAGATGTGCAAATTTTCTGACCAGAGCTTTACTGAAACCAGACATTGTAATTTTAAAAGCAAGTGGTGCAATTATGATGGATTCTGTTCACCGATAATTGCATTATACCATGGGTTTTTGTGGTAAAATTCTGTTTTTATTTCATGCCTCCTGCTAGTTTTTTTCTTGTGGCAGCTGTGGTTGTTAGTCAGGTATTAGTTTGGCAGGCTTACATCCATTGCACTATAGCATATAGCTATCCAACAAGGGTCCCTTGAAGACTAGTGGTTAGGCCTCGGCACTCTCACCACCACGGCCTGGGTTTGAATCCTGGCTGGGGAACCAACTAGGTTGCACAAGACAGTGCGCTCCAGTGCCAGTCCCAAGACCAGATGAAAATTGGGGAGGGGGAGGGCATATAGCTCATTATTATAGTGAAACATTTTTAGGGTTTCTGAAAGTTGAGGTGTTAAAATACGTTTTGACAGATAACTCCAATTTTGGCCAAAGCATTCTTGATTTTTTGTTGTTTTGTATTAATACAACTGACACAAATAACTCTGTCCCTGGGTGGGAGGATTGATAAGTGGTTCTTAACAGACCTACCATGCTGGCCTGATTGTAAATATTGAATAGGTTTTAAAGATGACAGCTGCAGTGGTAAAGAAGACATCAAAAAAGGGGACTGTATGTTTAGAGATCAAGTTGGAGTAGCACAGACCAGACCAGCATGGACTTAAAATGGCCCAGTAATGTCTTTTAATGAGCTGATAACAGTTAAGCCGGGTTTGTTAGTTGTGGCCGCTAACTGAGATCCACAGAAATCTTTTGTCAGTCAAAGCAAAAGCAGGGCAAAGCAAAAGCAGGGCAAAGGTGCTTTGAAAAAAGATTCTTGAATACTTTCTACCTGAATATGTTTGATAGTGATAGTTTAGTGCTTGGTTAAGGTTGTGTGGTAAGGAGTGGAAGGTTGTGAGTTCAGATCCCAGGACTGCTTAAGAGCCACAGTTGAACTGCTGAGCGCTCTGTTTGGATTGGATTCTGCCTTAGCTATAAGTCGCTTTGGATGAAATATAAATGTAAATGTGAACCTATGTCATGCCTATGTCTAATAAGTGTGCACTAATCTGCATTAGGGTTCTGTAAGATCTTTAGTGATGAAATGAAGTGGATAATGTCATTTAAAAATGAAGCACTGGCTGAATTCTGAGCTCTGACTAATGCCAATAACAATCTGAGCTGAACTGTGACTCTAGCGTGACTCACCTCCTTGACTTCAGTCTCTGTGTTGGATTTTTGAGGATCAGTGATGTCGTCTGTGGACTCAGCATGCTGAGATTGGTCCAAATCCTCACTGCGCTCCTCTGCTTTCTTCTTTCTCAATCCATCAAAGGGCCCGAGCTCGTATTCCGCATTCAGCAGCAGCAGGTTAAATTTACCAGAGACAATGATGAAGCCAACGGCAAGGCCATCGTTCTGAATAAACACACACACACACACACACACACACACAAGAAGGTGTACTTTTCATCTTTTTTGTCCCTTGTTTAATTTCTTTTCTTTTCTTTTCTTTCTAACACTTTGTTCTGGCTTATTTTTCTCATTCTGTCTTTTGAGCTTTACACTTCCTTCCTTCTTTCCTTCCTTCCTTCTTTCCTTCCTTCCTTCCTTCTTTCCTTCCTTTATTTAGATATTTATTTGTTTATTTGTTTGTTTGTTTATTTATTTATGACATTAACTGTTGACCAACTGGTGGTTGTTTTTCCTTTTTCTTTCTTTTGAATTCTTTTTCTTTTTTTTCTTAAAATAGTAACATACATTTGTTATAAAAGATATTAATAGAGATGATCAATTAAATTCCCCCTTTTAAGTGTAAAGTTTACTTTGAACTTTTTATTTACTTTTAATGCTGGTCCTCTCATAAAAAAGGAACAGTATGTTCTTTGCAGTTGGAATGGAATAAAATATTTAAAAAGCCTTAGCGTGGAAAAACAACAAAAAGCCCTGTGAATAATTTATGACATTCTCTGGAGTGTCACTTTCATAACAGTGCTAGGCGATGTGGAGCAGATTGCTGTGTGCAGAGAGAGAGAGAGAGAGAGAGAGAGAGGCGACATGCAAACACAAAACTGCAGAAATGCTACAGATGTCTGGCCTCGGCGTGCTGAGTGCGAGCATGTCTTGGCTGGCCGTTCGCTCTCATCTGCCATATGCTGCTATGAACACATGTCAGTATGAAAGGAGGGGGACATCGTGGTGTTCCTGAGGGAAGAGCCCCCCCACCACAAATTCATCTAGATTTAAGCAAAAGCATCTGTAGCCTCGAGTGCACCTACTGCTGTGCAATTCAAACCTCCAGCAAGGGTTTTAATTCCATGGACATTTATAAAAGGAGCGTCTGATTACACCCTGACTGCATACATTTTATTTGAAGTAATTTAAAAAAACACGTTAAAGCATAGTTTGTGATCACACAGTTTGTTATAAATATTTAAATACTATATAAATGTATATATTAATTAAAAAAATGTATATAACCACATGGCTCAGAGAGTAGTTCCATGAATGATATGTTTATATTGCATATTAATGTGCACATTCTAACACATTATTGTTTCTATATTAACAGCTTATACACATGGACTTGTACAGCAGATGCTCCATGTGATCTAAGACTAATAATAAGTGGATTTTTTTTATTACATTTTTTAAGTGTTGTTATTGAACAAAGAAAATGTATCATTGTTGATGTGGTGAAGTTTTTTGTTAGGAAACGTTTATTTAACATTTATGGCAGGATTTTTGGTGTCAGCACTTTGTAACAATGACGGGGCTTTGTAAAGTTTCCCAGCATGTGAAAGTGTTTGGGACAGAGGAGGTTGTAAAATGACAGGCTGTGGTTTTTGGAGAGAGAGAGAGAGAGAGAGAGAGAGAACGAAGAACATGCTGGAATTTGTTTTAAATAAGTGATAAGAGAAACTAACTTGTTTTTCAGATGTTCCACATCATTAACTTTAATTATAAGCCATTAAAAAGTGGTACGTGTTGTTTGTTAGTAAATTAAACATAGTAATCATTGGAAAATCAGTGTGTTATGAGTGGAATAACACACTCCAGACCATGGTTTCCCATCACCATAGTGTGGATTAATTTTGTATTACCGCACGTTATGTCATGTGTTATTCCTTATTTATTAGGCATAATTTCTTTTGATGTTTTTCAAACGTCTCCCCATCACACAAGAGCTAACAACCAGGAAGGGCAAAAACTGACAAGTGCTTTTACCAAGACACATGAAGCCAGCCAATCGCATCTTTTCAAACTGCTGCTCATGAACTCACAGATGCCCACGATTGGATAGTGTTGCTGTGATTGACAGGGCCAATTTTGCTCTCTTGGCTCCCACCCACTGATGGCTGTGACATCATTGGTTAAAATTCAAATCTGCAATCTCCTGATAATAGGGTTTTTCTGGTTCGCCACTCAGGAGCCTTCTTAAAACTGAAACATTAATATTCTAAAATATTTTGTAAATGTTTATCTGAAATAATTATATATATATATATATATATATATATATATATATGTATATATATATTATTCAGCTGCTCTCGTTAGGAGTCACCACGGCAGATCATTGTTCTGCATATTTGATTTGGCACAGTTTTTACGCCGGATGCCCTTCCTGACACAACCCAATTTTATCCAGGCTTGGGACCGGCACTGGGAGTGCACTGTTGTGTGCAACCCCAGTGGCCAGGGTTTGGTTCCCTGGCCGGGAATCAAACCCATGCCATGCTGGTGAGAGCGCTGAGGCCTAACCACTAGTCCTCCAGGGACCAAATAATTATATTTTTGTTCTTGTTTATATTTTGGTGTTTTTTTTATATATTATATACTGTAACATATATTGAGCTCATTTTAAATAACATTATGTAAATGCACTTTATCATCTTTTTTTTTTGGTGATATACTATTGGTAGGCAAGACTAACCTCAAACACAGCCACATGATTCATCTCACCCTCAGCCTCGATTTTCTCAGCCAGGGTGTCCTGCACAGGCCAGCAATCGCTCAGAGTCTTCATCTGCTCTAAGTATGTGAGGTCAATGAGATCTTCTACCCTGCATCACATCACATCACATCATATTCCACACTATCTGACTAAACTAGCATTGTAAATCAGCTCAGATGCTCTTTTCCCAAAAAAAAAAAAACATTTTTAAAAATTAAGCATTTGTCACACAAACTGGAAAGTTTAGAAGTGTCTTGAGGAAGAGGACTTACAGTATAGCCATGTAAACCATTTATGATGTTTCACTTCACATATGTGTGAATAATACGAGACAAATAAAGCCAGTTATTCAATATTGCATGAGCAAGAGTAACTCTCACAACTCTTGTTTGTGTGATATTGCTTAATTATAGCACAGAACTTTTGAATTCTAGTATCTGATTGGTCAGAAGATGTTGATTCATTTTCCATAACAGGCTGCAAAGTAAACCACAGGTTCATATTAATGAGCTCATTGTAATATGTTATCGTTTCTATAGTAACAACACGTTCACAGGGTTTATACATAATCTACAGCTAATAATACACATTTTAAAAAACGTGCTGGTGTTTAATAAAGAAAAGTGAATAAATTTTGATAAAGTTTTTCTATAAAAAGACATTTATTTAGCAATTATGGAAGGAGTCTCCAGTGGCAGAGGGTTGTACCAGTCAGTAAGTTTTCTGTTGCAGAAAGTCTTCAGGACAGAGAAGTTTGATCATCACTAGCAAGCGGAGTTTGTCAGTGTGGATCATTAGAAATTGCCATGTATGCGTGTCCCACCATGTGCTGCATTGCTCACTATGTCTTTATTTGTGAATGCTGGGAAATATTGGCACTTTAGCAACCTCAGAGTGTCTTATTATTCAGGAGTGTGAAAACTGCATATGAATTTTATCTTCTAAGTCTTCTAACAGGAGGAAATCTCTCAGGTTATTTCTGTTTGCAGCCTGCACAAGGGTTAATGTAATGAAAGGGTTAAACGTGTGTGTGTGTGTGTGTGTGTGTGTGTGTGTGTGTGTGGTCTAAGCACCTGGCTCTGCGCACATGCAGTCTTGGACAGTAGTTGTGTCGGTGGCACACAAACGCACCACACTGGACTTCCTCTGTAACGCAGGGCATGGGCTCAAAAATGTCCAACAGAGCTGGCTCTAAAGAAAAACAATGCAGCTGAGTATAAATGCTGGCTCTGTGTAGCTGCTCTCATCAAGTTCTTTTTCTATTGTATGAGCACTTTTGACCACATCTGGCCAAATCTGGAACTGTTCAACACTTTCAGAGCCAGCTCTTGGCCAGCAAAGTTGGTACATGTTCAGCGCTGAAATTCTGCTGGTCCAGAACTACGAAGCGGTTTCATCAGGCGCTTTATCACCATGACAACAACTTGGGCATAATTACATGAATGACATTAAAATAAGATAGTAACAGTGGGGAATGTTTAAAAAAAATAACAGCTGAAAAACGGCAAAGGAAATATTGCATATATTACTGTCTGTATTGAGTTGTGCATGTTCTCCTTGTGTCTGTGTGGGTTTCCTCCGCTTTCCTCCCACCTCCCAAAACCGTACCGTATGGGTGATTGGCTACTCTAAACTGCTCCTAGGTGTGAATGAGTGTGGTGGTCCATCCAGGACGTATTCCCACCTCATGCCCAGTGTTCCCGGGATAGGCTCTGGATCCACCGTGGCCCAGACCAGGATATAGTGCTTACTGAAGATGAATGATATTGCAAGTGTAAATCAGTGGTCCAGATAACGAAGATGACGAATGTGTTCTGTTTGTTGAAAGTTCAGGAATAAAAGCTCATAGTCTCTAATTAATAGCCAAAATATTACTGTACACATTTAAACTTTTTTTTTTTTTTTACAGTAAAACAAGTCCCTGGCTACAAAAAGCCTTGCAAAAAAACCACTGCCTTAAACCCAAACAGCTTTGGATAAAAGCAGTATAACGTAGAGAATGTCCTGAAGTTGAGTACTGCGTGGTTTTCTTACCGAGGCTGCTGCTGTAGGGTGTGACGAGGCAGATGTATTCCAGCTCTGTGATGGCATTGAACACAGTCCTGGTTGCGATGAAGAAGACAGAGACATCATGCTTCATGTCTACTTTGCGTAAACCCTTTTAAGCTCACAATGTAAAATCAAACTTTATCTGATTGCAGAATTCAATGTAAAGGCTCTGAATGGAAACAGGAAGACATTGCCATGGTGGAAATGTAATTTTCGCTGCCCCAAACAAGATTTAAACCGGCCTTAACTGGATGACTATAGAGAAGTCTGGCTTATTCAAGTCTAAACACATAAAAGCATGACAGGCAAAACAAATCAAAATAATGCTGTGTCTTTTTCAGAAATGTAAAAGTTGTCTAAAATACTGTATTACATTTTCAGTTTTTACCTGATAATCTCTTTAGCACTGGAAATAGAAAAGCCGGGCTGGGCCACAAATAGATGCAGGAAAATTGTGTTTAATGGCTATAGAGATTAAAAAAAAAAAAAAACCTTGAGCATGAGGCAGATCACAACAGAAAGTTTTATCATTACTGAATCATATAAGAGACATCATTTTGCCTACTGTGAACTTTGTGGAGTTAAAATGGGTTTGAAGTAGCTGCTCCCATGAAGCCTGATCCACCAGGTCACCAATGGGATGGTCCACCAACGCAGCATGGGCCAGGACTTCGTTTGTTGCTGTGCTTATAGTAACTGCCAGATTAGCTTTTTCCCTGAGAATGAAGCAAACAAAAGAATAGAAAATGAATGTGCACAAAAATAATTCAAACCAAATTAGGAATGTATATTTAGTATACATAATGTAATGTATATAAATATAACATATCATATCAGTACTGTTATGGTGGATTGGGCACGTTTTAAACTGATCCACTAACATATTTTTGTCTATGAATGCCTTTGACCGAGCACAGTTGACCACACATAGTTCTACATAGTGAACATAGTGTGTGTGTGTGTGTGTGTGTGTGTAGGTGTGGGTGTATACTGTACGTATGTGTATACATATATATATATATATATATATATATATATATATATATATATATATA